ATGAGAGACGTGAATTTATAAAACCTAAAGGATTAGAGAAAAACTTTGAAAATGATTCTGGATCATCGTCATGATGTTGTTGACGTGTTGGGTAAGAAAACGATGATGGAGAAATGGATCCATCCATGCTTGCTTTATTGCTTGCTACTGGAGTTATTGGGAAATCAGTAACTTGTATTTGCATATCATTGCCATTAATACTTGCAATTTTACGCAGTACTAATATTGCATCATGTTTACGATTACGAGATATTAGATATTTTGGTGATTCTTGAAGACGAAAAAATAATATACGAGCAACAAGCATAAGAAATGTCTAAAATAATATTAGAGAATATTACTTGTTAATTTATTTTGAATAATTTTAATTAATTACCGTTAGGAGGAAGTAAATTTTGATAAACTAACCAAAGTTCCTAAAGTTGCCAACAAATATCTCCAGCCATTATTTTCTATCGACACATCACAAGTATCTATTTCTCCCTTTTTCATTTCTGGACAACTGTATGGAGGCAGAACAATATATGCCAACACTGATGTTAAGACAGCTCCAAATGAAAAAAATACTGACATAAAAGTTAAAAGATACTGATGTTCTTTTGGTATGAATTCCAAGAAAAGTGCGCCTAAAATTAATTATAAAATATAGAAATTATTGTCATCATTAACCTACCTTTAGAAGTATAAAAGACATTTGCATACCATCAACTGGCATATTTCCACCGACACCAAATCCCAATAAAAATAATAAAAAACATAATTGTGCGAAATTTTGCGAAAAACTTGAAAATACTCCAAATAATGATGTGATCGCTAAGGTCCAATTGAATGCTTGCTTACGACCGTGAGAATCAGAAAGAACCCCCCAGAAAAGGGCACCAGACATCATTGCTGTAAATAATAATCATTGATTAATTAATTGATATATTTCGTAAATAGCGATAATATTATTATTAAAGTATTATAATTACGCTGAACTCTTGGTAATATTACAGCCACACCCTTGTAATAATGATTATAAATGTATTATTAAATAAATGATGTTTGATATTAAGATCCAAAAGTCAATAGGTAACATTACCTGTAGCCACATCTATTAAAATTGATATATGATATTAGATATTAATTAGTTTTTAACTTTTATATATACACGTACAAATATATGATTGATTATAATATAATTAATCTCATCACTAACATTATCAGCAAGCCAGCCGAATCCACATAAAACCTATAAAACCACAAAACCATTTATTATCAATCGAAACCTTTTATATTATTATTTATTTCACCTATATATAAATAAATAACACAGATAGAAATTGTAATGATAAGGTGACTGGCAGCAATCAAAAGGACAATATTGCTAGTGCTAATGTTGATGCTAATAGTAATAAATACTAATCTTATTCTATAACTAATAAACATTTCCTAAAACTAACCAATAATTGTTTTTGAAATTTTCCCATTCCAATTTTTGTAATTAACGCGTCAAGAGCAGATTGTTTTTTAGCAGCATGATTTGATTCGTCTAATAAAGTATTTTCTTCTTCCGAGTCCTCACCATCTACGAGTATTCCATTATTATCGTTGTTGTTGTTGTTATTATTAATGTCTATTGATAGCATTTTACAATTTCTACTAAATTTAAATAAAATATTTTTTATATATATATATATATAATAGGGATTTTGTTTGA